GTGATTACATAGTTTCTAAGTCACAAGTTCATTCTAACTTTCCTGGAACAAATTGTCTATCACAGTCTGTAATATATAACAGTGTTCACATGTTATACACCATACATGTGATCAGCAGCGTGGGGATATTTAGTAGTCCCAGCCCATCTTTTGCTCAAGGTTAGCCCTCACTACTTGAGCCACAGCTCCGCTTCCAGCTTTTTGGGTGGTTAATTGGAGATAAGAATGTCACAAATTTTCCTGTTTAGGCTGCTTTGAACCACAATCCTTAGATCTCAACATCCTGAGTAGCTGTTTACATCTTCTATATATACAATTTTACTAGTCTTGACTATTATTCACATTGACTATTGGAGACTAATTATATATATAAGTTCTATCTATCTATCTATTTATTTATCTATCTATCTATATATGATATCATCCCTTCTAGGATTTCATCTAGGCTACACAATTAGGATATTTAAAGCAATTCAAAGACAGTAGAGGTGATGCAAATTAAATAGCCAAAATGGCACATCTGAAAACAAGATTTTCTGGGAGGCTGGTTGTGGGGCTTGAACTCAGGGCATGGGGGCTGTCCTTGAGCTCTTTTGCTCAAGACTAGTGCTCTACCACTTTGAGCCACAGTTCTACTTCCAGTTTTCTGGTGGTTAATTGCAGATAAGAGTCTCACAGATTTTCCTGCCCAGACTGGCTTTGAACCACAATCCTCAGATATTAAACTCCTGAATAGCTAATATTACAGACAAGAGCCACCAGTACCTGGCTTTTAAAAAGATTTAAATGACTAATTTACAATAACTTTAAAAACGAGTTTAAGATGAGTGTGTATTCTTTACATTTTATGATTTCCAGAAAGGAAATCATAGTTCTAATAACAGACATAAAATGCTGGAGCTGAGCACTAGTGGCTCAAGCTACTAAGGAAGCTGAGATGGAGGATCTTGGTTCAAAACTACTCCAGGTAGAAAAGCCCAACAGAGGGCTGGGAATGTGGCTTAGTGGTAGAGTGCTCACTTAGCATGCATAAAGCCCTGGGTTGTATTCCTCAGTACCACATATTTAGAAAAATCTGGAAGTGGTAGAGTGCTCTTGAGCAAAAGAAGCTCAGGGACAGTGTCCAAGCCCTGAGTTCAAGCCCCAGGAGTGGCAAAAAAAAAAAAAAGCCTAACAGACTCTATCTCCAATTAACAAGCAAAATGCTATAATGGAGGTATGGCTCAAGTGGTAAAATTCTAGCTCTGAGCAAGAAAACTGAGGGAGAGCTTGAGACCTTGAGTTCAAGGTCTCGTACCAGCACAATAAACAAACAAATAAATAAATATCTGGTGTGTGTTGGTACATTTTCATGTAATCCTTGCAATAATATTTATGAGAAGTGTTATCTCCATGCTATGAATAAAGAAACTGCAGTCCAAGAAACTTGTCAGTCATATTTGAATTAGTGAGCCCAAACTCCCTCACTCTAGACCCTGAGCCCTTAGTCACTAAGCATTTGCAGCAATGTAGTCTACCATTTTTCTACATTGTTTTTAAAGATAATTTTCATTGTGCATGAGAATAGCTTTCATTTCACAACACCATTTAGATCAGGATAACTTAAAAGCTATTCAAGGTTAGAATCTAGCCCTTGAAGCCCAATTATACCCTATGTGAAATGTTTTGTATTCTGCAGAGCTTACATAGGATAAAATTCCTTGATTGGTGCTGGAAGGCTTTAGCAGGGATTCATTTAGCAACAAAACTTACATTCCAGCTAACTGTACTTCCAGAGGTCCTGAAGAATGCAAGAGACCTACAACAGATAGATATAAAGAGGAAGACATTATTCTTGTGCATGCATCCTACATTCCTCTGATTTTCTTCATTACCAGTAAGCCATAGTAATTTCTAAGGCTGAACTCTTTTTTCTTTTTGTCAGTCACGGGGCTTGAACTCTGGGCCTGGACACTGTCCCTGAGCTCTTCAGCTCAAGGATAGTGCTCTTCCACTTGAGCACAGCGCCACTTCTGGTTTTCTGGTGGTTATACGGAGATAAGAGTCTCATAGACTTTTCTGCCTGGGCTGGCTTTGAACCAGGATCCTCAGATCTTAGCCTCTTGAGTAGCAAGGATTATAGGCCTGAGCCAGTGGCACCCCACTCTTGAACACAAAGCTTCTCAACTAGTACCCATTTCATGGAATAAAGTACCAAGGTACAAGGTACAACACCATGAGAACTTAAAAATTTACATGTGTCATCAGAAGAAAAAAATGTTGAACAACAGCACACTATGTAAACCTATGTAGGTTTTGTTTCTTTTTTTTTTGGTCAGTCATGGGATTTGAACTCTGGGCCTGGGCGCTGTCCCTCAGCTCTTCAACTCAAGGCGAGCACTCTACCACTTGAGCTACAGCGCCACTTCCGGTTTTCTGGTAGTTTATTGGAGATAGGAGTCTCACGGTCTCTCCTGCCCGGGCTGGCTTTGAACCGAGATCCTCAGATCTCAGCCTCCTGAGTAGCTAGGATTACAGGCGTGAGCCACCAGTGCCCGGCTAGGTTTTGTTTCTTAAGTAGAATAGAAAGTTTATCACTCAAAAAAACCTGAACCTTGCCCATATAATTGTAACCCTTCTGTACGGTATTTTCACAATAAAAATTTTAAAAAAAAATCTGAAATTAGCCAGATGCCAATGCCTCATACCTATAATTCCAGCTACTCAGAAGACTAAGAGCTAAGAATCAAGTTTTCAAACCAGCCCAGGCAGACAAATACTGGAGATTCATCCTCGATTAACCAGCAAAAAGTCAGAACAAGAGGTGTGGCAAAGGGATAGATTGCCAGGCATGAGTGAAAAAGCTGAGAGAACAAGGCCCTGAGTTTCAAGCCCCAGTACAGCAGAAAGAGAGAGAGAGAGAAACAAAGAAACAAGTGGAGTGCTGGTGGCTCCAGCCTGTAATCCTAGCTACACAGGAGGCTGAGATCTGAGGATCGCGGTTCAAAGCCAGCCCGGGCAGGAAAGTCCGTGAGACTCTTATCTTCAATAAACCACTTGAAAACCAGAAGTGGCGCTGTGGCTCAAGGGGTAGAGCGCTCGCCTTGAGCTGAAGCACTGGGACAGTGCCCAGACCCAGAGTTCAGGCCCTACAACCAACAAAAATAAAAATTTTAAAGAAAGAAAAAGAAAGAAAGGAAGGAAGGAAGGAAGGAAGAAAGAGAGGCTGGGAAGTTGGCTCAGTGGTAGAGCACTTGCCTTGCATGCATGAGGCCCTGGGTTCGATTCCTCAGCACCACATAAGCAAAAAGAAAAAAGCCGGAAGTGGCGCTGTAGCTCAAGTGGTGGAGCGCTAGCCTTGAGCTGAAGAGCTGAGGGACAGCGCCCAGGCCCAGAGTTCAGGCCCCATGACTGGACCCCCCCCCAAAAAAGGAAGGAAGGAAGGAAGGAAGGAGGGAGGGAGGGAGTATGAGAGAGAAGGAAGGAAGAAAGGAAAGAAGGAAAGGAGAAAAAAGAAAGAAGAAATAAGAAAAAGGGAAAAGAAAGGGAAGGAAAGAAGGAGAGAAATTAAACAAATATTACAATGATTAATTAGTGTAGCATTCCTTTTGGGCACAAACCTATAAATCTAATCATCAAAGTCTGTCTTTTCTCCCACCCACCCCCTCCTGCCAGCAGTACTGGGGTTTGAACTCAGGGCTTTGCCAGCAAGTACTTTACCTTTTAAGCCAAGCACTGAGCCCTTTTTCCTTTTAATTATTTTTCAAACAGGGTGTCATGTTTATGCCTGGGCTTGGCTATACCGTGATCCTCCTATTTATGCTCTTTCTTGCCACAACTGTGATGAAAGGTGCATGCCATCATGCACAGCTTATTAATTGATGTGGAAGCAGGTGGTCTTGCTAACTTTTTGCTTAGAGTAGCCTGGAACCACAGTATGATTGACCTCTCTCTGTGAGACACAGTTCCACTTCTGGATTTTTGGTGGATAATTGGGTATAAGTGTCTTATAGACTTTTCTGCCCAGGATGGCTTTGATCCTCAGATCTCAGCCTCCTTGAGTAGCTAGAATTATAGGTGTGAGCCACAAGTGCCAAAGGGTTTTTTTTAATGTTGGTTTCTTTGCCTCTAATGAGATAAAACTAAGGCACAAAAACTTCTCATACCTTTATTCATTCATTCCTGCCTGTAATTAGTCAAATTTTGTTTGTAATTAGTCAATATTAGTCTTTGAGCCTTTTTCAAATGCAGTACACTATTAGTGTTTTTATTTTCCCACTGACTTAATCATTCCACTAAAACATCCTAGTTACCCACAAAATTCCAGCTGTCTAGTCAGGATCTCTACTTTTACCAACTTGCATATCTATCTATCTTATCTTTTCCTTAAAAAGATATTCTTCCCATCAAGCCCTTTACCTTCCTTCTCCCTACCAGTTTCATCAAGGTCTGAAGAAGTGGTAAGCTGAGTGGCAGACATCTCCCCACTAAGATTCGAAAGATCAAGGCAACGTTTTGGAGTTCCTCTGTTGAGACATAATAATTTACCAAGATCCTCATTAGTATATAATATCCTTTAAAAAGCAAAGGTCTGTGATCTTCATTTGAAATACCTCTCCATGATTATCTCCATGACTTGCAAAATATAAACACTATTCAAATACATTTAATTGCTTTTATGTCATTGGAAAAAAAAAACTTTTTTGTTTGTTTGTTTTGCTGGTCATGGGGCCTGAACTCTGGGCCTGGGCGCTCCCTCAGCTCTTCAGCTCAAGGCTAGTTAGTGCTCTACCACTTGAGGCACAGTGCCACTTCCAGCTTTTTCTGCTTTATGTGGTGCTGAGGAATCGAACCCAGGGCCTCATGCATCCGAGGCAAGCACTCTACCACTGAGCCAACTACCCAGCCCCAGAAAAAAACTTTTTTATGGTGGTGGTAGTACAGAGGTTTGAGCTCACTTTGAACCATGCCTCCAGCCCTCTTTAAAAAAATTATTTTTAATGAGGGTCAAAGTTTGTTGACTGAGTGGGATCTTCACCTCACATTCTCTCTGTCCCGTTTACCATGAACATGATATTTGATTTCTCCCTGGAGTCCCTAGTATTTTTCAAAAATTGTTATTTGCTAGTGATGTATAACAACATAACAAGACCAGAATTTAAAGCACAATAACACTAAAGAAACCAAGTCATATAATGTAACAGATGTTTCAGACTTTTTTTTTCCAGACACCACAATTTAATTCTCACAAGGTAGGAAGACATTATTCCTACTAAGACAGGAAACTAGTATTACTTCTGTTTCACAGAATAGTAGCTCAAGGCAAAGGAGCACACAGACAAGGGCAAAGCTGGGACTTTAAACCCTGATCTGTGAACTAGGATAATTAAACATGTTGGAAAAGGTAAAGGAGACAAGGTATAAAAATAAAAGTGGGGGCTGGGAAGGTGGCCCAATGGTAGAGTGCTTGCCTTACATGCATGAGACCCTGGGTTCGATTCCTCAGCACCACATATGCAAAAAGAAAAAAAGCCGGAAGTGTTGCTGTGGCTCAAGTGGTAAAGTACTAGCCTTGAGCTGAAGAGCTGAGGGACAGTGCCCAGGCCCAGAGTTCAGGCTCCACGACCAGACCCAATAAATAAATAAATAATAAAAATAAAAGTGGATTTACCCAGACAAAATGCTTAGGTTTGCAGAATCAGCAGACCTGGGAAGATCTGAACAGATGGTGAAGGAAGTGTCTCTCTCCAAGAGAAGGTGTAACATCTTCCTCTGTTTAGACTTAAAACGAGATTCTTGGCCAGAGCTTTCCTCCTCTCTTGTGGATGAGTGTTCTGTAGACATGGTCTCCAATGCTTCACCAAGAAAACAGAAAACCCAGCTAAGAGAAGAACATCACAAACCGTTCAGCTTTCCCAATCTCCCCCACTCTTTCCAGCAAAGCCAACGATCGAAATTGGAGGATAAACTCCTCCAATGAATCACGATTTGGTTTAAAGGTTCAAAATTGCACTTGCAGGCCAGGCGCCAGTTGTTCACATCTGTAATCCTAGCTACTCGGGAAGGTGAAATCTAAGGATCACGGTTCGAAGCCAACCCAGGCAGTAAAGTCCATGAGATTCTTATCTCCAATCAAAAGCAAAAAATATTTTTTTAAAAAAGTTGGTAGTGGTGGAGCTGTGAGTCAAGTAGTAGAGCGCTAGCCTTAAGCAAAAAAAAAAAAAAAAACTCAAAATTGAGCGAAAGTGGAAGTTTTCTTGCTTTGGGGCAAACAGCTCGACACTCCTGACCGAAACTCCAGGCGCACTGGGCAGCTGGCTCCTACTGAGCTCTGCGGCGCCAACCGAGTCTCCAAGCTTTCGTGGCTGCGAGCTTACCTCGTTTGGAGTCAGATTTGCCTTTAGGGAAAGGAAATGTGCAGGGACTGAACACAAGCAAAGATACAAGCGAAAAATAAAAAAGGAAAATCTGAGGGAAAAAGAGGCAAAGTTCAACTCCACAGCCAGAAGACGAAAGCATTCAAACCTTCCGCCCTCCCTACAACCTATCCCCACCGGCCTGTAGTTTGCGTCAACCAATCTCCGCGTGCGCTCCTAGATCCCGCCCTCCAGCCGTAGCCAATCCTTAGGTCCGTATATTTATATTTTAGGGGCGTGAGCTTTTATTTTAAGGGCTTGACCTTACTTTGGAAGGGACTGGATTTGTCCCGCCCCCGGGGATGACGATGGGTCCTCTAGCTGCCAGTCTACTGAAGTGCGCGTAGATCCGCAGGAAGCCTGGAGCACCATTGGCTCTCCTCTGACCAATCACCACCCACTTCTTGTACTCTCAATTCCCTGGGCCCAACCAACCCCGGGAGATTTAAATTGCTGCTTGCTAAGGACTATCACTCCCTTGGATGCTGCTAGGAAGGGTTATTTGGAGTGGAGAGTGTTTCTTTTTATTTGCTTTTTTCGCCTCCCTCGTGTTATTTCGCTTTATTTTGGTAGCCTTCCGCTGGATATGGAGCATTTGCAGCTGGTTTGTTAGGTGTTAGGGCGAGACAGCTGTGTGTGTTTATGCTGAGCGTCAACCAGGTTGGATGACTCTGTTAGTGCAACTCAAGAACGCCAGGTTATGTGGGTAAAGAGAAATTCTTTCTCTGAGGAAATAAGGGAGTTGAACACCCTTTTATCGTAATCCTTCATTGCCAGTCCAAAGAACCTCAGGACTGAGGTGTAGCTCAAATGGTAAGAGTGCTTGACAATAACGCCGAGGTCCTGACTTCGCTCTTAAGTTTGTGGGAAGGAGAAAATATTAAGGCTTGGCTATTTATAGAAATTTGAACATTGATAAAGTGGTACTTAGAAAATTATTTCATCCTCATTTTCTAGCTTACATTAATTATACCAGGGTGTGGGGTTCATTACTACATTTCCACATGTTTAAATATATTCCAGTCAATCTTATCCCCTCCATCACTCTCTCATTTCCATTCCCTCCTTCCCCAAACAGGGTTCATTGTATTACTATTATAGTGCTGGGACGTGCTAAACAGTCACTGAAATACATCCCAGCCCTACAAATATTTAAGGGGTTGAGGGTGTGTGTGTGTGTGTGTGTGTGTGTGTGTGTGTGTGTGTGTGTGTGTGTGTGTGTGTGTAGCTTTTGGGGAGTTAATTGGAGACACGAGTCTCATGGACTTTCCTGCCCCTGCTGGCTTTAAACCTCTCAGCCTCCTGAACAGCTAGGAGTACAAGTGTGAGCCACTGACACCTGAAGTTTTTGTTTGTTTTTTGGCCAGTCCTGGGTCTTGAACTCAGGGCCTGAGCACTGTCCTTGAGCTTTTGCTCAAGGCTAGCATTCTACCACTTGAGCCACAGTGCTGCTTCCAGCCTTTTCTGTTTATGTGGTACTGAGGAATCAAACCCACACGCTAGGCACAAACTCTACCACTAAGCCACCTTTCCAGCCCCTGAAGGTTTTTGTTTTTGTTTTTGGTCAGAGAGCTGTCTCTCAGCTCTTTAGCCCAAGGCTAACACTCTACCACTTGAGCCACAGCACCACTTTTGGTTTTCTGGGTGGTTTATTGGAGATGAGTCTCACAGCCTTTCCAGCCTAGGATGGCTTTGAACCATGATCCTCAGATCTCAGCCTCCTGAATAGCTAGGATTACAGGCGTGAGCCACCACGTCCAGCTCTGAAGATTTATTTTGAAATACTATGAGGATGGTATGCACATAAATGAGACATTGACCATCAATGTTGGGTGATGATAGGAAGGTGTTCATTATATAATTGCTTTTTCATCTGTAGAAACTGCTTCCACAGAAAGATGTGTGAAAAGTCTTTGTGCTCCAGGATAGAGATGGTGAGTGTAGGAGTCAGCACAGAGCCTTGTCATGACAGGTAAGTTAGAAAATCAAGCTGGGGAGTTAGGGAATGTGGGATTAGTTGATTTCTGCTTTGATAACTTCTATAGTATGTATCTCTTTTTTTGCGGGGGGGGGTCAGTCATGGGGCCTGAACTCTGGGCCTGGGCACTGTCCCTCAGCTCTTCAGCTCAAGGCTAGCACACTACCATGTGAGCCACAGTGCCACTTCCGGCTTTTTTCTTTTTGCTTAGGTGGTGCTGAGGAATCGAACCCAGGGCCTCAGGCATGCAAGGCAAGCACTCTACCACTGAGCCACCTTCCCAGCCCCTATAGTATGTATCTCTTTCAGGTGGGAAATTGAGACAGATGAAGCTGTCTCTCAGAGATGTCAGAAGCAGATAGATTATGGCAAGTGCACACCTGGTTATCAGTGCTTTTTGCAGCAGGTCCCCAAGTGAGTACTGTTGTGAGTGGTCACAATAAGGATGTCAACCAAATGGTTCTAGTCCAATATCAGGTGATGGAAAGATACTAGTGTGGGACTGTTCTGATAGAAGCACAGCATTACTAATTCTCCTGTAGTTTAATCTCAAAAATAAGCTTCTGAGAACAATCCAACAAAAAATAACTCTTTAAGTCAGAGGAAACACTAAACTTCTAATTTCCCTAACATTGTTTTATGGGAAAGGGTAAATTATGTCTTTTAAATATATAACAGGGCTGAGAAGGTGGCTCAGTGGTAGCGTGCTTGCCTTGCATGCATGAGGCCCTGGGTTCAATTCCTCAGGACCACATAAACAGAAAAACACTGGAAGTGGCACTGTGGCTCAAGTGGCAGAGCACTAACCTTGAGCTGAAGTGCTCAGGGACAGTGTCCAGGCCCAGAGTTCAAGCCCCACAACTGACTATATTATATATATATATATATATCACGCTGGGCTCCAGTGGCTCATGTCTGTAATCCTAATTACTCAGGAAGCTGAGATTTGAGGATCAAAGTTTGAAGCCAGCCTGCTTCTTCATTCTTTTTGTTGTTGTTGTTGTTGTTGGTGGTGGTGGTGGTTCAAGCTAGTGGGCTTGAACTCTGGGCCTGGGTACTGTCCCTCAGCTCTTCAGCTCAAGGTGAGTGCTCTACAACTTGAACAACTATGCCACTTCAGGTTTCCTGGTGGTTAAGTGGAGATAATAGTCTTATGGACTTTCCTGCTCAAGCTGGCTTTGAACTATAATCCTCAAATCTCAGCCTCCTGAGTAGCTAGGATTACTGGCACGAGCCAGCAGCATCTAGCTGAGAGATTCTTATCTCCAGTTAATTACCAAAAAAAACACCAGAAGTGGAACTGTGACTCAAGTGGTAGAACATAAGCCTTGAGCAGAAATATAAAAGCTTAGGTCAGGGCCCAGGTCCTGAGTTCAAACCCCAGGACAAGTGTGCATGCATGCGCGGGTGCTCGTTCGCGCACATACCCACCCACACACCCACACACCCACACCAGGTTATGTCAAATATTGTCTTATATCTTGACTTCTGAGACAGCTTAATATAACTATCCAGCAGAAAGAATGTTAGGGAAATTAGTGAGAAGTTTAGTGTTCACTCTGATTTGAAGACTGATTCATTTTTTTTCTGATCCTACATCTTAGAGAATCCGACTCCTTTATTCACTGTGATAAACAATGAATTGGTTTTTTTTGGGGGGGTGGTCAGGTTGTGGGGCCTGAACTCTGGGCCTGGGCACTGTCCCTCAGCTCTTCAGCTCAAGGCTAGCGCTCTACCACTTGAGCCACAGCGCCACTTCCGGCTTTTTTCTTTTTGCTTATGTGGTGCTGAGGAATTGAACCCAGGGCCTCAGGCATGCAAGGCAAGCACTCTACCACTGAGCCACTTTCCCAGCCCAACAATGAATTGTTTCTTTTTCAACTTTACCTAGACTTGTCACCAGGACAAAGTGACAGCCAGGACTGCACCTTTGAACACCAAACATGAATAGAAGGTACAGCCATTGTTCCTGGGATACCCAGATCAGGCAGTGGAGAAGAGCTCTGCATAACTGGGACCTCCCCCCCCCCAAGCCAGCCTCTGCAGGGCAAGGGGGTTGAAGGGTGTGTTCACTATCCTTATTTCCTCCCGTGAGTGGTGAGCTGAGCCCTACCAATTCCCACATTACAGAACTTAACTTTTATTGAATGGAAAGGGAAGATCTGCTTGATGTTTTCTGATTCTTTTGCCTCTCTAGACAAGGAATGGAGAGTCTCTTAGAGCAATGAATTCTACCCTTTTGAATACTTCAGGATGACTGGCTCTAAGCTCTGGACCACTCAGAATCTGGATGATGATCATAACAGAACACAGGTAAGTATCCTCTACCAAAAGCTTTGAGTCAGGGTTACAGATGGGGTCCGAGTCACAAAGGTATAGTTAGATGAGGTAGAAGTAGTCGTCTAAGGATAAAAGATAAAGGAAGAGCAGCAACAAATAGGACATGACTAAAAAAAAATTTTTTTTTGGTCCGGTCGTGGGGCCTGAACTCTGGGCCTGGGCACTGTCCCTCAGCTCTTCAGCTCAAGGCTAGCGCTCTACCACTTTGAGCCACAGCGCCACTTCCAGCTCTTTTCTTTCTGCTTATGTGGTGCTGAGGAATCGAACCCAGGGCCTTGAGCATGCAAGGCAAGCGCTCTACCACTGAGCCACCTTCCCAGCCCAATGACCAAAAAATTTTGAGAACTATACTGGGGTTGGTAGCAAATGTCTGTCATCACAGCACCAATAAAGTTTGAGGCAAGAGGATCACAGGCTGGGTTACATAGTGAATTTGGGCTACTTACACAGCTTGAGCTAGTTAGCAAGATACCATCTCAAAAAAGATAATTTGCAGGCACCAGTGGCTCGTGCTTGTAATCCTAGTTACTCAGGAGGCTGAGATCTAAAGATTGCAGTTCAAAGCCAGCTCCGGCAGGAAAGTCATTGAGACTCTTATCTTCAATTAACTACCAGAAAACTGGAAATGGTGCTGTGGCTCAAAGTAGTAGAGCACTAGCCTTGAGTAAAAAAGCTCAAGGACATCCCTCAGGCCCTGAGTTCAAGCCCTATGATGGACCCAATAAAAGGTAATTTAAAATATCTAGAATT